GCACCCGTTCATCTTCAACCCGTCCTTCTCGGCCATGGTCTGCAGGTCGTACTCCTCATCCAGGAAGTCCAGGGAGTTGTTGCTGGGAAGGCCCCGGAGCGTGAATTTGTGCGAGACTTTGGTCCAGTGCTCCCGGTTGCTGGCCACCCGCTCGTAAAGCTCCGACGACTTGGGGAACAGCTCCTGAAGCAGCCTGGAAGGGAAAAACCAGACGGGTGTCAGACCAGGCAGGGGTTGGTGTCCTGCTCCTGTCAGAGTCTGAATCCGAGGAGGAAGACGAACAGCTGACAGGGAGCGGGAGGGTGGCTCCGTTGGCTGTGGAGGAAACTGGGGAAGGGCAAAGTCCGGCTGGGCAGAGCAGGGGAGAGGGAGAACAAAGGAGAGGGAGTTCAGAGAAAGACCCAGGCTCATTCCCTCTTCATCCTAGGGCAGGCAGGGAGGAACAGAGAAGGGAGCAATGTGGGTTGTTGGCTTATGGGAGAGGAAAGGGCCCTGATTCCCTTCATTAGCGGCAGCTGGGAACACAGTGTTTAAAAGGAGATTGCGCACAGCAACTCGTGGGAAGCAAACCGTGAGTTATCTTTTAAAGTTGGCCACATACACACTCACACACACACACACACACCTCCCCGAGGTCAGACACAATTGTCATACCCCTGTTGGAATCTGATTTGGAGGGGGAGGCCAAGGGCAAAGTCCAGCTGGGCAGAGTAGGAGGGAGGTAGAACAAGGGAGAGGGAGTTCGGAGGAAGATCCAGGCCCACCCCCTTTTTATCCTAGGGCAAGCAGGGAGGAACAGAGAAGGGAGCGACATGGGTTGCGTGGCTTACGGGGGAGGAAAGGGCCCTGATTCCCTTCATTAGCCACACCTGGGAAGGAAGTTTAAAAGAGATGCAAGCTGAGTGCGGCGTCTGCTGGGAGCAAACATGAGTTTATCCTGTGTTGACTTTGCTTATCTGTGTTCCTGGCGTCTTCCCAACTGTGTTGAATTATGGCTGTGCCTTCATGTCTGGAAATGCCTTGCCGGACTAATGACCTCTTTTTGCCTTGATTGGACTTAAAGTTACAGTTTGTGTTGACCATGTTTTGGACTTGATTCTCTGCAGCCCAAGGCTGTTCCTGGGAGAGTTTTTCTCCAGTCAGAAGGTAACCAGGACATTGGGGGGCAAAGTTGGAGCTAAAAAAGGGACTCCCACTGATTATTTGACAGGGTTGCCATTGTGCCACGCCCCTTTGGGTCATCACAGGTGGGATTCTACCGGTTCGGCATGGTTCAACTGAACTGGTTGCTCCGAGGATCATCTCTGAGTGAACTGTTCGCTCCGATGATCAGCTGTTGGGTTCACCTGCCCCGGGTCTATTCTGACCTTTATTTCTTTGTTTTCAAGCTCAGCTGCTTCACGCGGCACGGCGGATTGCCGTGCGTCAGCTGTTTCACACACATGTGCACGCGCAAAGCGCACACTCACTGAACCGGTTGGAAAATTTAGCCTCCTGCGGGGCTAAGAGGGGACTCGGATGGGGAGGGGAGGGAAATACCCTAAGGAGGGTCTCTGGATTGCCCAAAATCAACGGGACAGGAGCAGTCTATCTGAAAATGTCCGCCATCTCTTGGGGGGACTTTGGAGAGAGAGTTTTTCAAGCAGCCTGGAAGGAAGACCGTCTGGCCATCAGACTTCCCTGCGGGGCCAGAGAGGACTTGGATGGGGGGGGGGGGAATACCCCGAGGAAGAGCCTCCAGGACCAGGAGCAGCCTATCTGGGAATGTCCACCACCTTCTGGGGACTTCGGGGGGAGAGGGTTTGCACGCCCGTGCCCTGCTTGTGAGATGCCCCCCCCCCATCCTGCATACCTTGAACCCAGAAGGGACAAACCCCTCCTAGCCCCCTGCATTCTGCACCCCTCTCCCCTTGCAGGTGGCTTGCACGCTTGTGCCCCCCTTGTGAGATTCGCACACACCCCATCCTGCACCCCTCCAACCCAGAGGGAGCCCCTCTCTGCATCCTGCATGCTTCCCCTCCCTCTGAAGAGGCCTCGCACCCTTGTGAGATGGCCTGAGGAAAACAGATATACACACACCCTGCCACACCTTGAACCCCCAAAGCCTGACACACACTCACTTGTAGATGGGCATGGCGATGTGTTCCATAAAGCTGATCTGAAGCTCAGGGATGTAAGCTTTTTCTCGGTCCATCATCTCCATCGGACGGTTGCCCATGGCTTTCTCCTGGAGACGGAGAAGGAGAGAGAGAGAGAGAAAGAGAGAGAGAGAAAGAGAGAGAGAGAGAGAGAGAGATGAGGGAGAGAGAGAGAGATGAGAGAGAGGGAGAGATACAGAGAGAGATGACAGAGAGAAAAAGAGAGACAGACAGAGAGACAGAGAGACAGAAAAAGAAAGAGAGAGACAGACAGAGAGAGAGACAAGAAAGAGAGAGAGAGAGAGAAAGAAAGAGCGAAAGGGATAGAGACAGAGAAAGAAAGAGAGAGTGATGACAGAGAGAAAAACAGAGAGACAGAGAAAGAGAGAGAG